TGATTGGTTACTCAAGCTCGGAATAGTGTTTGCTATTTCTAGGTGGTGAGGCAAAGGTCACATTTTGTGCACGAACTTACGAAATAAAAGACCTTTCGCAGTCTTCTGAGTTGATTTTTGCGGATGTTTCATCCTCCTGGTTTGGTATATACTAAAACAATTATTCCCCTCAGTGTCAGTGGCTAGTGGTGGATCGGATATTTACCTCGCCGCTTTGTGGCTTGGTAAATATCCACCACTAGCCACCTCCACTGCGGGGAATAATTGTTAATTATTATTATTATTATTATTATTATTATTATTATTATTATTATTATTATTATTATTTCATCGCAATATTGGAACGTCAACAAAGTACAGCTGCATCACTCTAGCCAATCACAAAAAAACAGCTTTAAACTTTGACAGTTTTGATTTATGTATTTACTTGTTTTAACGTCTTGTTCTCTACAGCCGAAGAAGTAAAAAGGTAATTTAACAGTTTGAGGACGTATTATAATAAGGAATTCAAGAAAGTACAAGAGTGGGACAGGTAATGGGGAGCTGTACATCTCTGGGTGGATATACTATGATGCTCTTGATGTCTTTCTCAAACACCAAGCTCTCCTCCGTAGAACTTTTTCAAACATGGTAAGTATATTATGCACCTTACAGTAATAAATTATGTTGTTGTACAAAATGACAAACTTCTATGCTTGTTATGAAAAATCCTCAAATCTCAGTAATTCAAGAGCAGCAATGTGCATGCAAAATGAAGTCCAAATGCTTTAGTAATGATCATGTTTTAACGAATCGTGGCTCATGCTTTATGTTGAACACCAGTTGTGATGATTTAACTCATATCCCATTGCCAGTCAGCTTGACCATTAGTTATAAAATAGTCAAGGAATTCCTCTCTGATTTCCCTGGCCTGTATTGAGCTCCTGTTAGACCCTTGCAGACAGACAGAGAGTAACTGAGCATTTGGGTTATGCCTCCATTCTGTAGGCAGCAGTTCATGTGCTGCAGTTTCTGAATCTGCCACAGCTTGGCTATACTCAACACTCTTCGTGCGAAGATAATTGTGCAATGCAATGCATGCAAGTACGTCGATTCACTCAACTTTTTTCGGCTCAAGTGGAATGGTTGACTGAAAGATTTGAAGTCTGTGGACTACAATTCCAAAAGCATTTTCAATGACTCTGTGAGCTTGCGAGAGTCTATAGTTAAACACTCTTGAGGCATCATCTAGACTCTTAGCTGGGAATGGCTTAATAAGGTTTTCTTTAAGTGGAAATGCCTCATCTGCAACAATAACATAAGGCACAGGAGTGTTCCTTTCTGGGAGACAGTTAGCAGGTGGAATGCCAAGGCTATTGTTGTTCAAAGCTGCTTGAAAGCAGGACTCCTGTAATACTCCTCCATTACTGATTCCGCCATTAGGCCCAACATCTGCAAAGGTGAACTTGTAGTCAGCATCCACCAATGCCAGAAGCACAATGCTGAAAAATCCTTTATATTTGAAGAACATGCTCCCGTTGTGTTTTGGTGCTTTAATGGCAATATACTTGCCATCTAAAGCTCCCAAACAGTTGGGGAAATTCCACTTAGACATGAAGCCATTTGCAACTTCTTTCCATCCTTCCTCAGATGAGGGCACCTACAATGTAATTGAATAATTGCAATTGATAAATAATGGTAATTGAACTGAGTGGAGTGCAGTTTGGTCTGAAATCACAAGTATGATTTCAGACCAAAATTGCACGACCCGAAGTTCAATTGCCACTTTATTAGATCCATTTTAAAATCGAACAATTTTATCGCCTTAAATTTTAGATTTTTGGTGTATTGTTCCAGTAGCTGGTTTGTTAAAATAAGCGGGACCGGAAACGCCTTTACGCCTCATTTAGTATGCAAAACGATCTCATGTGACGAAAACTCCTTCGAGCATGACAAAGAAACAAGCAGTTCTGAAGTCAGAACGAAAATAGTCTACTTCAGGTATAAAAGTTCAATTCTCGTCGCCTGAATCAATTATGG